GGTTCCGCGGGGTGCTCCCGGAGACCGTCGGCGAGGGCACCCATTTCCTCGTGCCATGGCTGCAGAAGCCCTTCATCTTCGACATCCGCACGCGGCCGCACAACTTCTCCTCCAACTCGGGGACCAAGGACCTGCAGATGGTCAACCTCACGCTCCGCCTCCTCTCCCGCCCCGATGTCCAGCACCTCCCCACCATCTTCACCTCCCTCGGCCTCGAGTACGACGACAAGGTGCTCCCCTCCATCGGCAACGAGGTGCTCAAGGCCGTCGTCGCCCAGTTCAACGCCGACCAGCTCCTCACCGAGCGCCCCCACGTCTCTGCCCTCGTCCGCGACGCGCTCATCCGCCGCGCCCGCGAGTTCAACATCATCCTCGACGACGTCGCCATCACCCACCTCTCCTACGGTATCGAGTTCTCGCTGGCCGTTGAGAAGAAGCAGGTCGCGCAGCAGGAGGCCGAGCGCTCCAAGTTCCTCGTCGCCAAGGCGGAGCAGGAGAGGCGGGCGGCCATCGTGCGCGCCGAGGGAGAGAGCGAGTCCGCGCGCCTCATCTCTGAGGCCACGGCGATGGCTGGGACAGGTTTTATCGAGCTCAGGAGGATCGAGGCGGCCAAGGAGATTGCCGCAGAGCTGGCTCGCTCGCCGAATGTGTCATACATTCCTGCTGGGGAAAACGGAAAGATGCTTCTTGGTCTCAATGCTGCTGGATTTGGCCGGTGATTCACTGTTTTGTTTTAGTATGCTTGTGCTATGCTGATGCATGACTAAAACGGTGGACAGTGATATCTGCTACCCTTGCTTATGTTAAGTTTCCCTTGTCTTGGAACTAAATTTGTTCATCTTTTGCTCAAAATAAGTTCTTGGTATTGATTTTGGGCAAGTGGGCATATTTACAATTGATAGGGTTAATGTGACATTGTGTTGAGGCTGCATTCTAATTCCCCCTTGCATTTTATTCTCATGTTGAATTCATTGATGTCTAACATTGCTAGAATTGTAGATCTTTTTCGGTCGCCTTCTGATGTTGTTCCTGCATGACAACTTGTGTTGTTTATATGTTGCGACCTTTTAAACATATATCTTCTGATTACTAGTGTGTTGTTGAGCCTGTAGTTCTAACTTGTAGGATGCTATTTTCTCCTATTTGTTCTGAAGTACTCTAGTTAGGTCTGGACTTTGATAAGCTAGTGGCGAAGCTATAACGTTTCTATTTGGGTTTTCACCACTTTGCTATGCTGCAGTGATACGGCGGCCCTTTCATCTTAAATAGGTTCTCATGACATTTAAATGCTTTGTGTCCCATTGGTTGGTTACTTGCTTCTGATATGCCCTGACATCTTAAATAGGTTCTCATGACATTTAAATACTTTGTTGGTACCTCACTAGTTGATTATTTGCTTGTTGTGCAATAGGTGATAGGTCTCACGATTTGCAATACATGAACTGTTCATTCATTGATGAACCTAGCCATATTCTTTTATTTTGGGAGTCTGTTATCAGATTTAACAATGTCATCTCAATATGGTGCTGCATCAGGTTTGTTTGGGTGAGCGTTAAATAGTATGGGATCAACACTTGAGCCTGAGCAAATGTTAAGTTTGAGCTTCAAGGAATTACCTAGCAATGGATTGTTTTGTCCTGATGCATTGAATATTAGATGCCCATTATCTTGTTTATACTCAACCCTGTGGCATCTTGAATAAGCAAATTTTGAGTGCTTGTTGATGCTATTATGGGTTGGTCATTTGCCTTTCTGGTGTTTGATTTCGGTGTTTTGCAGATCATGAACTTCTGATTTGTTAGGTGTTTTATTTGTTAGAGGTCTGTATATTCTCTTTAGGAAGGTGCTATCAGGTTATGCTCTTATCGGGTCAAGATGGTGTTTTGTTGAATTTTAGCTTCATAATATGGTACATCATATGAATGATTGTGAAAGGATGTGTTGGTCCTGATTTATGCGAATATTACATGGGTACTGTTATCTTGATCTTTGGTAGCTTGGGATTATTCATAATAACTTGGCCACAACAACAACAACAAAGCCTTACTTCATTACCTGATTGCAGGCTTTGTCGCTGGTAACAGCTACTGAGCTAGTGAGCTTCATATAGCAGATTAATTTCCGGTTTCTAGCATAATGTGTTGTGCCTTGATTCTATAGCTGTAACCTAAATTGACTAGCTAACTTAACATGTTCTACCAACAGTTTGGTACTCCAGATAAACCTGGCACTTGCATATATTACATGTGACTATGTGAGAGCTCATGGTCAGCAGCGAAGCTAGAACAAAATTGAGTTGAAAGATTTTAACAAATAAATTAGAACGATATTATTATTGGGTAATTTTTTATCTGGCATTGGTTGAAACTTTGTATCCGTCATACGTCACATAAAAAACTCTATAAATGGTACCATCAAAACTCTTTATAAATGCCACTATCCATAAAATATGATTTCTTTCAAGTCTGACTATATTGGCCCTGTTCACGTGTCTTTAAACGTGTCTTGATCCGCTTTTTTTTTTTTTTTTTTTTTTTTTTTTTATCCGAAACAATATTTTTCTCTCATAAATTTCTTCAGCATTCCTCTAAACCATCCAAATTCCTTCAAGCGAACAGGTCCATTCTGCTATACATGCATGCCAAAATGACCCATTTTTAAGGACTAGCAGGAGAGTTACCTCATTGCCTGTTATATTAAAAAGTAACCTTGTATCCACCATTACAGCACTGTTCACCCGGTCCTTAAACTCTACTTCCTCTGAACGGGTCGCGAAAAGAAAAAAAAAAGAACATTGCCTACCCAGCCCTTGTTTAGCTGTAGGAATTTGGATTTTAGGGTTACTGTAGCACGTTCATTTTTATTTTGTAAATAGTGTTTAAACATAGACTAATTAGGCTTAAAACGTTCGTCTCGTAATTTCCCATCAAACTGTGCAATTAGTTTATCTTTTCGTCTATATTTAATAGCAACTTTTTGGAAGTTGGGGTGGAACTAAACACGCCGCCAGATTGCAGAGGGCAGGTACCAGAGTTGCCATATTTGGACATGTGCATTTGGAGAATTTGCCATCTTTGGACAATCGAAGAACGATGTAGAGGGCAGGTACCAGCCGCATGCACTCAGCCTATCCGACCTCTAGATTCTGTTTTGAATAACAGGCCTTGTTTAGATACCCTCAGTTTTTTCGCTCTTTCTCCATCACATCAATTTTTAGCCGTTTGCATGGAGCATTAAATGTAGGTAAAAATAATAACTAATTGCACAGTTTAGTTGAAAATCACGAGATGAATCTTTTGAGCTTAGTTGGTTCACGATTGGACAATATTTACCAAATAAGACGAAAGTGCTACTATTCATCGGGTTGAAATTTTTTTCAATCTAAACAAGGCCTAGCTAAATAATTCCCATTTTGGTGAAGTCCAAACCTTGCAAATCAGGGCTTTTTTTTAAAGAGGACCAAATCAGGGCTTTGAATTCCGTTTGTGATTATCCCAAGAATTGTGCATGGTATGCGGAACCAATTGCACAATTTGTTTGCTTTCAGTGATGGTATAGTCAGACTCAATTTTTGTGGGGCTGGTGGAGGGAAACGGAAGAAGCCAGATTTTTAGGTGCTCCGCCTCTCTATAGAGAAAGAGCTCGAGCTCCTTCCGGTTTCTGTTCGACCCTGTTTGCCGTTTGGTAGACCTCCACATGAAGCTTGATCTGAAGCCCTTTAGCCTTTAGGGAGCCCTACTAAAATAGGACTAAGTTTGTTATTAATTTGTTTGAAGCGGTAGCCTAGTTATACGGAAATGGCGAGACTACTTCCAATCCAACTATGTAAAGTCTAAAATCACCGTGGTGTCGTTGAACAAGATGTTTGTGATCTGTTGAAGTTTGTATTAGTCACACACCATGTTGTATCATTTTTACAATTTTGGCATGACCATTTTGTATCTATTTTCAATAAATACTGGAAAATATTTGTTTTCAGATTCCGTAAACTATATGATATCGTTTCCATCGTTTTCATCTTACACCGGAACAATGCATCTGTTGCATAACACGTCCAACTTTGGCATCTCAGAAACACTGAAACAACGCGTTGCATTTGCATCCCAGAAAAATAAGGTTTTCCCGGCTCGTGCCGGTCGGGCACTGGACCGAGGAGAGCGTTCGGCCTGGCCCATCTCACCGGAACCTGTGGGCAGTTTGGCCCATCGCGTCTGGCCTCGTGCGCGCGACCCGCTGCGTCGTGGTGGGGTTGTTCGATCCGCGGAAGCAGCGGGTGGCGGGGCCGTTGGGTAGTGACGGCCTGACGGGGCGACGCCGACGCGACGCGGCAGCTGGCAGTGGGTGCTGGTCGCCTCGCCCGCCCGACAGTCAAGTCAAACGCCCAGGCCGAATCCAACGGATAGTCAAGTCAGGTGCGGCGGGACCATGTGATGTGACACTGCCACGCCCCACGCTGGCCCTTGCAACGCTGTGCTATGCTAGTCAAGGAGGTCTACTTGCTCAGTTGCTCTAGGCGTCTCGTGTCATGCCGGCCGCGGCCGCAGCCACGGCGCCTGGCCAGTGGCCACTGCCAAGGTGACCAAGCCACAGGCTACAATCCGATCGTACCCAAACAAGGAAGCGGCTCCAAACAGCAAAAACAAGCTTCGCCTGGGGAAGGAAAAGGAAACTCACGCCTCGTCTCAAAAGCTGCTCCCACGAATTCCTGGAGCATCAACCAAACCTCGCCTCGCACCCCCACCCCAAGGCGGGCGAAGGCGGCCAAACGCCCAAACCCCAAGGAAAACGAAAAAACCAGCCGACTACCTGACCTCGCCATCGCCTTCCAGAGCCCGAGAGGCATATCACCTCGCCATCTCCCTCCCATCCCCCGTTTCCTCCTCCTACCACGCGGGTCGCCATGCCCCCTTGCCACTGCAGCTGCTGAGTGCCGCTGTGGGAGGATCCGCCCGCAGCGCAGGCCAGCTGCTTCCTGAGCGCCGCAGCTGCTACCTGAGCCTATGGACCCGGCCTCCGAGGAGCTCGAGCGCCGCAGCCGCTACCTGAGCGCGCTCGTGCGCCGCACCAAGCTCGCCGACCCGCCGCAGCCCGAGCCGGAGGTGGTGGAGGCCAAGGCGGATGTGGAGCCGGAGCTGAAGGCGCCGCCGCGCCCGCACGTCGGCGGCGAGGGTAAGGGAGGGAAGGAGGAGGCGGCCAAGGCGGAGGAGAAGGAGAGGACGGCGGTGGCGGTGAAGGCCGTCAGGGGGGAAGTGAAGACGGCGGAGGGGAGGAAGGTGGCCGTGTGCGTGCGTGCGGCGGACATGCCGCTGCCGCTGCAGCGGCGCGCGGTCCGGATCGCCGTCGAGGCCGTCGCCGCAATGCCGCGGCTCGAGAGCAAGCGCCTCGCGCTCGCGCTCAAGAAGGTAACAGTGGACACTGGACACAAAGTTTTTTTCCCTTCTTGTTTATTTCAACGTAGCATTTATTTGTGGATTTGTTTATGCTCAGCTAAACAAATTTCTCATCTGTTATTATGTCAAAAAAAAAATCAAAAGCATATTCATTTCATCCATGTCTATGCGCGGCCACAAATCAAGGACAGATATATGCATGCGCAGATTCAGAATAAGATCTAGAGCGTAGGATTCTGGTAGATGTTTTAGCTCTCAAATTTGATGCACATGCTGCTTTGGCCCCAAATGAAACGGGAGGCAGAGACCATGCCAGATCAGATGGTTCAAAACTTTTATTTATGAGAGATGGTCCACTATGCAGCTTACAAATAACTCTATTTATGAGATATATGTAGTGCTCAGAGGATGTGCAAGAGTAGTTAATGCTTTTGCTACTATAGGTCGTCTCTAGCTGTTTCATGTTGCAATCTTATTTCAAATTAAGTTAATATGGATGACAACTAAGCATGCTCTTCGAACTGGGAGAGTGGTCCACCAATGAAGGGCTGATGTTTTTGTTCGACAAGGAAATAGAGAAGGCAGGAGAGAGGGGTATAGGAGGATTATCGGAAGAAAACCAGTAAATGTGAGGATCAGTGATGGTTGGCTGATAGTGCAATATGTTCTTTCGTAGTAAGGCCCTGTTTGGATCCATGGGCTAAAGTTTAGCCCATTCTTTCTAGTCACTTTTTAGCCCTCATGGATCCAAACGGGAGGGCTAAAAGTGGGGGCTAAACTTTAGCCCAATCGTTTTCTATTAGCCCCTCTAAGTTGGTGTTTGGATCACTAGTCCAAGGACTAAAGTTTAGCCCTGCTGGGGTGTTTGGATCCATGGGCTAAACTTTAGTCCTCTTCTACAATGATTGATTTACTCTTATTTAATTATCCATGCACAGCCATGCATGCGAGCGGCAAGGGGTATGGGGCATCCAGCGCCCGCCCGAAGGGAGTTTAGCCCAGTTTAGGGCATCTTTAGGAGCAAAAGATTTTAGTCCAGTTTTTAGCCATTTGCTCACTTTTAGCCCCCCTGTTTGAATCCCCATGGCAAAAAAGGGGGCTAAAAATGTAGGGCTAAAGTTTTGCCATGGGATCCAAACAGGGCCTAAGGTGGGCTAAAGAGGGCTAAAAGTGGTCCCTTCGTGGCAAAAGACACATATTACCCCCATCCACCCCTTTTAGTCCTGTGCATGAGTATTAATTAGGAGCAAATGGGTCATGATAGGGTACATGGCTAATCTTTAGCCCCTGGATCCAAATAGCCCCATGGGCTAAACTTTAGCCCTTTCATTCTAAGGGCTAATCTTTAGCCCTGGGCTAAAGATTAGCCTCATGGATCCAAACAGGGCCTAAGTCATATGATCATGGAGTCACACAGCTGAGATCACCTTTAGATGGAAAGTGCTCAATTTCTGTCTGCTAAGGGCAGCTCCAACAATACTAGAAGAGCTAGCTCATAGGATATTTTATTGAGTAAGAAGGAGAGATAATGATAAGTTAGCTCTTCATGAAGAGCTAAGCTCATACGCTTTTTTTTTATCATGTATGTGTCTATGCTTACACATTTTTCTATACTAGCATGTTGGGTTACTTTATTTTTATCTTTTTTTTTTGAGCTAGCAAGTGAACTATATTGTTGAGGGTGCTCTAATTGGTGCTTGATATAAGCTGTTGATTCCAGGATATAATGTCTTTGTACCTGTCATCATTGAGAGTTACTCCATCTCCATGTTGCACGTTATGGCTTCATTGATCTGATCAAAATGGTGATGCCAAATGAAGTTCGCCCAAGAACTTCTTCCATATTTATTTATTTATTTTATCACAACAAAACCATCACGGCCCAGCTTTTATTGAAAGCTTAACAGAGTACATAACTGGGGGATAGCAGTTTACCACACAGTTCTAAAACAGGTCATTGAGCACAGCACTGCCTGAAACTGACTCGACTCCTACCTCAAGTCCTCAACACACTTAGCAAACCACCAAAAATACAAAAGACCACATAAGTCAAACTGCAAACTTCCACAGCAGTTGCCAACGACCCTCCAGCAAAAACCATCCAAAACAAAACAAGAATCTTCAACACCAACTATCAGCCACCACTATCTTCAGACTTGCTTCAGAGCATCAGCAAACTTCCCCATTAGCCTGTCCACTTCCACAGACTCTTCCCCTTTCAAGACAATCAATTGATTGACTAAGCTTTTTGCTCTATGCAGCACTGTTGCTGGGTCCTTCATCAGCTTGTTGTTGATACCATATCGTTCCTCGTTTTCTGTAGTGCTCAAAGTACACCTGCACAGCAAAATAACATCACTTCTCTAATTCTGGCAGGTTTCTTTCATTTTCTTTTCTGTCTAACTAACTCATGTTTGATTGTCTAACCAACCTTTTTTTTGTCGAACATGCATGAGAGTTGTGTTTGTATGAGGGAGGGAGGGGGTCCCTTAGGCCTTCCACAACGTAGGCTGCGATGATGCTTCAAAGAGAGAGTTCTCAGGCAACACTTCTCACACTGCCCTGCAGCCCTGGCAACTACCGGTGACGATGCCAGGAAATTGGGGAACAGAGCAACTAGATGCATCAACGCCCAAACTGTAAAAAGGAATATTTTGTTCATTGCACACCGATTTCCTGAGGCTAATTAATTATGCACTGTTTATTGTTTGTGGGACCCACTAAGATGAAAAACCAAATATAGCATCACTGTGAGGTAGCGGACATGAACAGTATTAGACAACACTCACGATGTGGAAGACACGACACAACCCACTTATCACTCAATGGAATTAATATGGGGCTGCAAAAATTCAAGCCAAAAAAAAAAACATTTTCGCTTTCCCCGTTAAACAATAATGGAGGCACTTAGAATTACTGAGTTAGATTTGCTCCTACTTTTCACATAGCTACTACTTCTACTTTTCTATGTTGGGAGCGTCTTCCTTATTCCTTGTCTGCACCCTTTGCGGCATAAGTTGGTTATGAGTCATGAAACTAAGGTGATAAGATTTGGTTGGTTCTGCCACAATATTGAGCAAACAACCTCAGTTGTTGCTATTTATGTTCTTTTTGTTCTTTCCCCCTTTCTACTTGGTCTCGCCTACCTGCTAATGCATGTAAAGTATCCCTTGTGATCCCTTTATTGTATTCTTGAATTTAGCCATATTTCTTATCTAGAGAAACAAGAATGCTGGCACCATTGGAAAAACTTCCTTAGATTTCCACAGAAAGAAAAAGGTACATGTGACCATGTGGGTGTGGGTTAATATTAAAATTTGGCAATTTGCTATTTTTTGTCCACAAACATTCCCTTTGTGTGTTCTCTTCTCTCTTAATGAAATGATACACAATTTTCTTGCATGTTCAAGAAAAGAAAAACTTGTTGGTTTTTTTTTTTAAAAAAAAACTTTTTGCTCATGTTAGCATGCACTGCTCCCTGGATTTTTGTTTGCCCCTTCTAGATCGGTGTTCCTTTTCTTTTCTCTCAAGTCACAAGGTAGTGCCTTATGTGACGTGCTTGATGACCTGCTGTTTTGTTTGGTTGGAAGTATCAAGGATTTTATTTTCATGATTGTGTTCTTTGATTCTCACTGTTCATGATACCTGATGACTGATTCCTTCTTTTCTTTTTTGTGATTCAAAGGATTTCGATACAACATATGGGCCTGCATGGCACTGCATTGTCGGCACAAGCTTTGGTTCCTATGTCACTCACTCATTGGGAGGTTTCTTGTACTTCTCCGTTGACAAGGTCTACATTCTTCTCTTCAGAACTGCCGTCCAGCCACTTGCTCAGCCGCAATGAGACCTGGAATCTGTTTACTCAAACAAGTGTAGATGCAGCGCAAATTGTAACTTTGAACAGAATAGATGATGCTCAACACACCGTGGTGCCGCGTTTGAGTAGTAGAGGTAATTTCATCTGTACACAAAACCGTAGAACAGCCATGCCCTCTGTAACTTCTACGTCGTAGTACTGTGCTGGTGTGTAAACGTTCTTGTGCTGTGGCCTGGAGTTACAGAGCCTGACTGTCAGATCTCAATCACCAGCTTTACCTTGTCCTGTTCTGCTGCACTACTTTAATAGTACTTTTCAGCGAATCAACCGTGTTTTCCTCTCACGGTATTTCAATGTAAGCATCAGCATAAGCTAATTTTTTGTGAAAATGTACTTCGTGGTTACACATTCGAGCTAGTGGGGCCCGTGATGACCTCTCAAGTCTCAACGCTCCCTAGTACCTTGCTTGCCAAATGCTAGTAGAGCTGTACTTCCTCCTTCTCTAAAAAGTATGAATCTGGATAAATGGATTTATAGCAAAAATGACATTTTCTTTTTGAGAGAGAGAGAGAGGGAGTAATCCTTAGCCGACACGACCCGTTGAATGCTCGGTGCCAGGAAAGGATAACAACTACTTCCTCTCTCCCAAAATAATGGAAGTCTCGCTGCCCATGGAGTCGAAGAATCTAAATTTTGACTAATCATGAAATACATTTGTATAATAAACTTAATCAAAGATTTAAATGTAGATAATATTTTTGATAAATCTATCCAAATCTAAAGATTGTTTGTCTCGAAAAGTGAGACTTTCATTCTTTTTAGAGTAATTGATAGCAGGCGAAATAGTGGGTGCCTATTGTGAAAAAAAAGGTGGGTGTCGAAACAGCTCCTTACAAGATGTCTAGAGAAGCCAGAATAATTTTTGTACTGAGAAATCGGAACCGTTAGAACGTGGTTTCTTCTGGCTTCTAACAAAATTGGCATAAAACTCTACCAAAAAAAGTTGATTCACAGGAGAAGCCAGAGTCAGAGTCATGTCAAACTAGTCCTTATTTTGGGATAGAGTGAGTATATCATTAGACTAATCATAAAGTATATGAAAAATAATAGTATTTGTGATACTACCTTCGTCCCCCAAAAAAATATAATTTTAAGTGCATTCTATGTTAAAATATCTAAAGTTTAATAACCAGATATATAGAAAAAATAAAAATGTCTGACACTAGATAGGTATACTATAAAAATATATGACATGGCAATACTAATGATACTTGTATTTAATATCGTAAATTTGATATTTTAACATATAAGTTAATCAAACTTAAGGGACTTTAACTTGGTATTGTGCTAGAATTGTATTTTTCTTTCTCTATAGATGGGTTCACTAGATTCATCATGAAACATATTTTTATATAATAATATAAACATATTTAGAGATACTTGATAGTATTTTATTATATATATATTAAAAACTACTAGGAATAGGTCGATATATGACTCGCTCAGGCTCAAAGGCGCTCATTGCCTAGGAAAGGAATCACAGAATCGCTATATCAATTTGATCTGTTTTTTTAGTCTTAATACACAACTCACAAAAAGAATATTCAACTCTGACAGAAAGTATCCTGACTTCTACAATTGTACAGATTTCTAGATTTAGAATTTTAATCCAATCCAAAAGTTTATATAGACCGTTTAGATTCCAGCGATTTACGGATTCTAAAGTCATCTTAGAACGAGACACCAAACAGAACACATTCATCATTGAGAATTAATGGGACAGACAAATGCGAATGTCCCACTGACCCTGTGATGAATCAAGAGAACCAAAAAGCATAGTAGACCACTGAGACCAGCCATTGATTTTGGACCACTCACAATAAACGGCGATGAAAAGGTAAAATACAAGTGACAACAGTTTAAAGGGCTTCCCAACCCAACCAGACCTGGCTCCAGTGCCCCCCGCTTGAAACGAGGTGGGACACCGAGGCCTTGCTCGGCAGCATCTCATATGGGGAGCCCCCAAATTTTCCCGACAATAATCATAACACAGGCTACAAGCGTCGCACCCAAGAAACCAGGGTCCAGATCACATTGCATAGTGTCATTAGACAACAGCAAACACTAGTACTAGTTTCTAGGCACGTATAGCCGGCTTTACTGCCCCTCGCTTGAGTCGCGCTTGGGTGCCTCCCTGATCTCTTCAGCAGGGTCCTCCTGCAGCCAAGCACCAATGATTGTTCAGGGAAAAGGTTGATCTCAGGAAGATCCAGTTCAAGAGTGCAAAGAGAACTGTTAGGGACATGGGTCTTACCGAGATGTCAGAAGTCCATAGGGTCAAGTTATCACGGAGGAGCTGCATGATCAAGGTGCTGTCCTTGTAGGACTCCTCGCTCAGGGTGTCCAGTTCCGAGATGGCCTCGTCAAAAGCCTGCAAATTGCCCAGGAGGGAACATCAGCATGATGTCTTTCACATGTCAATGGTCTCAATTCTCAACAAAGAAATGAACTCTAAACAATTAAGATGTCCATTCTTCTTTCAGCTGTGGAAGACTTCAGAACACCTGATAGGGTAAAAATCATTCAAGCGCATGAGCTAAGCTACAATATTTGAAAAGATTAAAAACATTGCGATTTAATAGCATGACAAACCACACGAAGTCTACTCACAGAAACAAAACTGACCAAATACATTTACCCAAAAAAAATGCAGAATACCAATATTGCTTAATGCCCAACATTTTATGAGCCACTGAGGACCTAAAACCTAAACTTAGAACAAACAATTTCAACAAGTGCAGAATATATGGTAATATTTTATTCTCCTAAAGTCAATTTGATGTTGATTTAAAAGGATTTGCATAACTGTTCAAGGACATATTTAAATTCATTGCAGATAATAGCTTAATACAAAGTAGCAGCCAACCAAAGGACATAATAACAAAAGGTTAGGTACACCCAATAGGATGCTCTAGTGTGCAAACACTCAGAACAACAGTTGACTGCAATTAAAAGATGTTGTCTCCCAAAATACTGATTCCAAGAAATTTCCATTGTTGTATAAGTCAATGACAGAATAGTGAAGAACCAAAATGTTAGGTTTCCTGTCCATATCACAACTTGTGCACAAACCAATCCATGTATAAAAAGTACACATTTATGACTGCAGGTGTGACAACAAAAACAACTACTCCCTCCGTTTTTTAATGCCGTATTAGGTTTGCCTTAAGTCAAATGTTTCCAACTTTGACCATCAATTTTTTTTTAAAAAAAAATCCATGTAGTTTCACTATGAAAGTATTTCTCATAGTGAATCTAAAAACATAAATCTTTTGTTGTTAGCCTATATATATTTTTTTAAATGGTGGTCAAAGATAGAACAAACTATATGCATGTAAAAATACAGGGAGTAGTATTTTTCATTAATGCAGTTTTAATATATAATATCTGGAGGGCTTCATAGTTCATACACCAGAAAAATTAACTTAAAACTTTAAAAGTCTCAGCAAAGTAAAGGGTTGTAGCATTGAGCCTAGAGATGCATCAAAGGAGAAAAAGGCAACATAGCAAATATGGTCCTCTAGTGATAATATTGTGATACACTAATGTCCTATATGCCATTTTCCCCTTACTGCTCAATTAACAATAGTCTTAAGTCATTTCATAAGTACAGCATATCATCAAAAACAGACTAGCAATTCCCTACACAAGCACTGCACATCCACATAGATAATATACTAACAAAACATCAAATGGTGCTGAAAAAACAAACCTGCTTTGCAAGACTGCAGGCGCGATCAGGTGAGTTGAGAATCTCATAATAGAACACTGAGAAGTTAAGTGCCAGTCCAAGCCTAATAGGGTGAGTTGGAGCAAGCTCAGCCAAAGCAATGTCCTGAATGCACCACAAACCCCTTTTCAGAAAACTTGTAATAAAACATGACGTGAAAAAAAAACTACAAGCATAATGCTTCATAAACAAAATTGCACACTGATTAAGAAATGAAACAAAAAATTATTGACCTGGGCAGCCTTGTATGCCACCATGGTGTTCTCAGCAGCGTCCTTTCTCTCAGCTCCAGTCTTGAACTCAGCAAGGTATCTAATCATGACAACTGAATCAGTCAAACGAAAACACAATACCAAAGCAAATGTGGAAGTCTTACTGGGATTCATATAATCATATTACCTGTAGTAGTCACCCTTCATCTTGAGATAGAAGACCTTGGACTCGGGAGCAGTTGAAGAGGGCACAAGGTGGGACTCGAGAAGCTTGAGGATGCCATCGCAGATCTTGGTGAGCTCAGTCTCAATCTTGCTCCGGTAGTCCTTGATAAGTGTTACACGGTCCTCATTGCCTCGGCCCTCCTCCTTCTGCTCAATGGAGGAGATGATGCGCCATGAGGCGCGGCGGGCTCCAATGACGTTCTTGTATGCAACAGACAGGAGGTTGCGCTCCTCCACAGTGAGCTCCTCAGAGTCAACAGTCTTGGCTACCTTCTCCATGAACTCAACCATCTCCTCGTACCTCTCTGCCTGCTCGGCGAGCTTCGCCATGTACACATTTTCCTCACGGGAAAGCTCTGCTGATGCCATCTTACAGTTCAGTTTTCAAAACTTGCAGTACGCCGGATCTGCAGGGTTTTGAGAAGCAGTGAGCTAACTTCATCGCACGATTAACATACATCAATATATGGGACAACGCTTTATTGATCTGTGGCACGAATAGCTACTAGCTAGTCGAGATCTACAGCTAGTCATATTCAGACGGGAGAATTTCAGAGGAAAAAGCACAATTCTCAGCATAAAACAAGGAAATTCATGGTCTAGTCACGGCAATTTTAACATTAACTATTTGAAAAGGAGAGGCTACTACAGTATCTGCTTGGCAAATTTTGCCTACAATAACCACAACGAAACCTAGCTGAAAGCATGTCTATTAGCTTCCAACACTTCCTCTAACCTTGAAAAGCGCCAGATCTGAGTACCTAAGTACGAACTTCCAGCGGTAAAACTGCCGCTTAATA